GTTGGAGATAATTGTTGAGGGAATTTTAATTAGTCCTCGTTGAATTTATTGCGGCGGTTAACGTGAAATTAAACCAATATTCGAATTAATGAGTTCATTAGCTCCAGATAAGTTTTTTAGGTCAATGATATGATGAATTGGGTCCGATGATTCGTCCGAAAATTCGGTGATGCCCGGGGCGATGATCGGAAAAATTCCGTTGTTTACGGAATTTTTTTTTTCATGGGGTCATTGAATTTTAGACTGATTAATTAATTTCACTGAAACGAGCGGTTGATTAGGGGAAAATTCGTTGGCGATATGAAAAATTACGGGTCTTTCGTGAATTGTTGTTAATTTAACGTGAAATTATGACAATTAAATTTGAATTAATGAGTTCATTAACTCCGGGTGGGAACATTAGGTCAATGATATTCGGGTGATTCGTCGGTTATTATCGGACAATCTAAGTTGATTGTGACATTTCATAAAAAATCTACAGCGGAAATGAACGAGGGGCTTCTCTCGAGATTTATTGAATTAATATTAATTAAAGATACGCCACCTCGTATCTCGATAAATTAATAACTTCAAATGAATTAATACCTCCAAATAAATCGATAAATAAAATAACGTAAAATCCAATCAATTATTTATAAAATTAAAAAAAAATTCATTGGATTTAACCGAGATCGGGAATCAATCAATTTAGCAATAATGATATTCATATTTTTGGAATATCTCTATTCCAATATTATCTATTATCTATTATCGCATTTTTTATTTATTTCTCACATGAGGTATGAGTATGGGAGGATGATTTCCTTTATCCTGTCTGCACTCAATGGGAATTCATCTGGACAAATTGATTTATATGACGTCGCATTCCTCCGCGTGTGTATTAAATATAATAAATATTGTGAATGTTCAAGGCGTGATAGGGCCTGAACTAAACGACGGGAGTCACTCGGAGAAAGGATAATTTCACGGCAATTGCGTTTAGAGATATCGCGTAGGACGCGATATAATTTATCGATATTTCTGGAATAGGGTATGGGAAAATCCAAGATATTTCGGTGGCATCTTCTCCGTAAACAACTCGGGCTTCGGTATTTAGTGGACACCAGGTTGATATCTATCTCGAGATTTCATTGAGTACTTTGCGACATGTCGATAGTGTAATCGTACTCCAGCGTCAGGTACACGTCACAGACTGGTCTTGGATGCCGATGACAATCTCACGTGCGTTCATAAACCTCACGTAATGTATTACCGGTAACACGTCGTGCAATGGACTTCATGGACCAATGGGGAAGCCATTAACATATCCAGAGCGTCATAACCAGAGGATAATGAACATTTTTCCTACATCTAAAAATAGTTCAATCAATCAATCCCCCATTTCCCGTTCTATTTTAAGAACAGAATAATGTTTCATCCATATCCGCATAAACAATCGTCTGATGACTCTCGGTGACGCAGAAAAATCGGAAATTATCGTTTTTATCGGTTTTATTTATTTTTTAATGATGAAAAATGAAAATAAAAATTTGACTGGTATTTTTATTTTTATCATGTCGAATTATGGGAGATATTTTTTTGTTAATTATATATTATTGGGGATTTTAAATTGTTGAATAATTTGTTTGCTCGAGATTTAATTTGTGGTCTTACAGGGATAGCCGATTTTTCCTTTTGAATTGCGTTTTAGTCGTTGGGGAAAAATTCATTAGTGGCTGTTGGATAATTATGAGGGATAAAGGGGAAGCCCAGGAGTTCAGCAAATGGATGACTCTTGGCCCCCAATATTTCGCCAACCTACTGTCGATAAGGATGACTGATAGGGTTGATTAGATTGTCGGATCGTCCAGCTGTCGACGTCGCGATCGTTCCCACGAAAAACCGCGATTTTGTCCGATGACTTGGGAATTTTGGAAGAAAAAAAAGTCCGAAGGCAGTAGTTCGATTGGTACCATATTCCGAATGAATGCCCATAATTGGATTGATCGATGATGATGATTAAACATAACGTAATACAATTGGGAAATCGAGAGGCGAAATTGTAGAAGAGATGAGATAATATTTCTTTTTGATTCCCCCAGATTTCTATAAATTGAATTGGAATCATCAGCGAACGGATAATCATGAGAATTTCTACGGAAAAAAATGGTCAACGAGTCGGAAAACGATAATTATTTAACTGACGCCCAAATTTTTTTTTATATTCAAAGATATTTATTAAAAACTGGCGAGAAAAAGGGGAAAACGTCTCGCGTTGTGAATAAATTAATTTATTGAAGTAAATACAATTCACGAGAATAATTCCTGTGGATAATCATGAGATTATCCTCGATTTTTTTTCCAGAGACTTTCCACTTCCCCCGAATATTTGGCCCCTAAGTTATTAAAAATCCTCCCCTCGGTGTTTTCCTGTGATCCCATCGCCTTCAGCCAATAAACCGATATTAAAAATTCGATTCACCTTTTTGCGGGGTCTAGACCGACACCGGAGTGTTATTTTTTACTCATTGTCTATTTTTAAAAATCGATGTATGAAAATTTCCATAAATTTACAATTTTTTGGGTGGAGATGATTGGATTTCATCGCCGACGCAATAATCGACGGACGTATAAAGACGTGACGTTATGAAACGTTTAGTCATGCTTTTTTTATATAATCTATTAATTATTCGTCTCCTTGAGGGCCTCCGCGTTTGATAGGGGAGCAATTGATAATCAATTGGTGCTCGATTGATAATCGATTGAAAAAATTGCAGGTGTGAATCATCGGAATTGTCGGAATTGTCGGAGCTTCAAAGGAATTGCCACTGGATGTACATGCGATTATCTAAAACTGACAGATGTATCATTTCTTATCAGCAATGCAATGGCAGATGGACTATCACAATCCTCGGGGCCGATTGCAATTATTAATAGAACAATTGTCACTCCGATTATATTTTCAATAGCTCCAACATGTGCTATTGTTTATCGAGTTAAACATTTTAATTTAAACAGTTAAAATACCATTTCAGAACACAATTTGATTGAACAAAAAAAATGAAAAGTGAAAAACTGAAATTTCATGTTTTATAATTTATTTATAAGAAGGTACTGCTATTAATTTTATAACAGAAATTTCAAAATTGAAGGGAAGTTTAATGTTTAAATTATCGCAAATGGATTGTTAATTCCGCTGTAATCGATAAAGAAGATTTATAATGCGGTCTTTTACGCCGAGAGGGCGATACATACCCCGAGAGGGTATTTTTCAAAAATTGTTATTGAATTTTTATGCATTGCCTCGGGAAAAATGGAGCGGGAACAATCGGCAATGTAAATATATTTTTACAAGCAATTTCCCTTGATACTGGCACTTCCGGTGTCTCTCCATTCAATTTTCGCATCCGCTCGTTTCAAAGGAACGTACGTCGCTCATTTAATTCTCTATTTTCCCGGTATGGAAAAACGGAGTTATTCAATTTTCACTCGGATATCGCTTCCCCCGGGGTGCGCAAATATTTGATCAATTTAATTTTCTTATCGTTTACGTGTCGCCCGCGTACCGTGCGTTCAGAATAAATAAATAATAAGCGCTGATCGACGTGAAAAGGAAATGATTTTCATCGAGTCGATCGAATTATCCACACTTTATCATTTTAGTTGTAAAATTTAATCGAGGCTTAATGCTTTTTTTTTATTTTAATGGATTTTCATGAAAAGAAAAAAATTAATTTCATCGACGATTCGATCGTGTTATCAATAATTAATAATTTTTTATCGAACTTGGACAGAAGTTTACCGCATTTCCGTGAGCTGTAACAAAATGCATCCGAAATTAACGATAAGATAAGAATAATTTTTTTTTCACACATATTTTTTAACGTTCCAATGATGAAAGAATGATGAGCGTTAAAAACGGTGATTTCTGCAATTGCAGAATCTATTGGTTTCAAAAAATTGCTCAGAGATTTTTGGTGTTCGCTGTGATGAGAGTTCTCCTCCAACGCTGTCTGCCCCTCATAAAGAATTCCTGGATGCAGTAGAGAATTTTTTAATGACTCTCAAATTACCCTAAAGACACTCGATTAATTATGTGATTATTCAATTATAAACGACAGATGAAAAATATTCGAATTACATTGCACCGAGATTTGTACAGATGGAATATATTATTGTCATTATAAAAAATCATCCGTTTCCATTTGTTAGCAATAATGATACTTTCGTTTGAGTGGAATTTCAGTCATGCAATGTAATGACCACACGCAGACTGGCATGTCCACTGCACTCCGCACAGATTTCTGTTCCCATGTTATATTTATTTATTTTTTTGTGGGGAATATTTTCAAATCCACGTGTAGCTGAAGTCTGCGTTATCATGCGTGTAGAAAGAAATAAATAATTACGCGGAAACGCACGAAAACAAAAAAGTGTTATGTGAAGAAAGAAGAGCGAAAAATTCAAAGAAATGGGAATTACACGATTGATCAAAACAATTAATCATTACGGACAGTCCCAATGGGATGCATTACGCAAAAAAATCCGCAATTCAAATGTTTTTTTTTTATTGCGAAATTAAACCAGTTTACATGAAGAGATAAAGTTTCTTAATATTAGATAAGAGAACTTAATATTCTAAAAACTTGCCATACATTCTCCATTTTTAGCAATATCATAAAAAAAATTATCACTCACTCTCTCTCAACAATTATTTTTAAATCTTCATCTCTATTTTATTTTCCATTTTTATCTCCCTAATTATGAGTTTAAATCAAACAGATGAAGAAAAATCCTTTAAACATTCGGTTTGACAATTAGACAAAATTGGTTTCACCACAAAAACGTAATATCATAGATAAATATAAGATTCGTTTTTCTCAATGTACGAATGCATAAATAAGTTTCTTTCGAGACATATACCAATTGAATTGTAATGAGCGCTTCCACCTCCTCCTCAATCATGAGATGATGAAAATATAAGTCCTGGGGATACATAACATTAGTTCATTCAGTATCGTCATCGATGATATTTATTTTTCATTCATAATATCATCCCGATATCACCAAGCAGCAGTTTCCCGTAAATTCCGATATTTTATTGATAATCAATTTCATTCCCGCGATGACGGCAATTCTGCCCATTTCTCCGCCATTCGGTGAGTGCAAATTTATAATATATTATTATTAATTTATTATTCCTCCCCTGAATTTTCTTCTTCTAAATTTTTTTTATCGTTGCAGCCTTCCTGGTAGGAGTTCTCACAATCTTATTAACCCTCCGGTTGTGGAATCCTGTCAGAAATTACTTGCAACAACGATCCGCGTTCATTAAATTTGCAAAAACATTACCAGGCCCACGGACAGTCCCTTTTTTTGGAAATGCCTTGATGTTATGGGAAACTGACAGTAATTTAATTATGAGAATTTAATAATCTTTTGGGGAATTTCATTGATTTATTACTCACATAAATAAATTATCAATTTTCAATCCTGCAGATCTGAACGCATTTTTTATTAATAATTTCAGAGACTGTGTTAACCCTGACGAGAATCGGGCGTGAAATAAAGGCGAGTACATTCAGGTTCTGGTTGGGACCGGCTCTAAAAATTGTGGTGACTGATCCCCGCGACCTCGAGGTGCGTTATTTATCTGAATATTCGTATAAAAATGATATTTGGAAATTTACTGAGAACTCCCTGAATGGTAGATCATCATGATGTCTTCAAAGGCCACTCGAAAAGATGATGTCTACCAGTTGATGCAGCCAGCTGTCGTCAATGGCCTCATTAATTCAGAAGGTAAAAATCACTGTACACAAATCCTGTTATGTAAATGCACAAACGTGCGACGTGTTTACGTGATTATTTGCTATTAATTTTGAAGAATCATATTTTCAGGTGCAATATATCGAGCTCACAAGAAATTACTGACGCCCATAATCAATAGTAATATTGCAGTCAATCGATACGCTGAGATATTTAATTACCAGAGTTCCATTCTTGTTAAACGTCTGCAAGAAAAAGTTGGGACAGGAGAGTTTAACATGCATGAACACATTGGATTTTGTATCGGGGATGTTGCTTTCGGTAAATCTTCAATTGCAAAAGCTACAATTGCAGAATTATAAATGATTGATCATCGAAGAATTGACGATGTCTCGATTTTTTTTTATATTCCAGAAACATTAACTGGAATGCCAGGAACTTGCCAGAGCGGACAGCCCAGTCCATTCTTAAAACTAACTCAAGAGTAAATTCACCAACTCCCATTTCGTCACATCAAATTACAAAATTAGGCACAAAAAAAATTTTCAACTTGAATTTTCCAGGGGATTGCACATTGTTTGCTATAGGATGATGAGACCTTGGCTTTACCCGGATATTATTTTCTCGTTGACGAACAGCGGAAGAAAATTTTCGAAAATAGTGGAAGAGGCTCACGCGTATATTGATCAGGAGATAATAAAGAGGATAAATAATCACAAACCGCTGCATTCGGAGGATCGCTACAACTTGGCTGTCCTCGACTACATGGTTGACCAGATGATGATAAATGGTGATTTGACAGTTGAAAAAATTCGATACGAGATCGTTACACTTTTCGTCGGTGTAAGTAGCGTAAAACAAATGGAGTTTTTTAAATTTTTTGACATTTCAAAATATTGACACTTGAAAAATTTTTTGAAAAATCACCAATTGCGCAAAAATTAAAATTCCGGGGAAAAGTGAAGAGTTCTGAGTAGCGGCGGACCGCAGATCCGAAATGAGGGCGAATTAGTCCTCGTGGAGTGATTTTTTAATTTTTCACTTTTTGAAAAATTGGTACCTGAAAAATAAAAAATAAAAATTCACCAATCTCGCAATAATGGGAATTCCCGGGAGAAGCGAACAGTTCTGAATTCCGGACGGGCCGCAGATCCGAAATGAGGGCGAATTATCCATCGTGGAGTGATTTTAAATTTTTTAATTTTTTGAAAAATTGGCACTTGAAAAAATATTTTCAGAAATTCACCAACTTCGCAATAATGAAAATTCCCGGAAAAGGTGAAGATTTCTGAGTAAACCTGTACTTTTTTGTCATTCAGTTATTCGAGACCGTCGAGGGTTTATGCTGCATGATCCTGCTGATGATTGCAATGCATCCAGAAGTGCAAGTATGTAAACCGATTTTTTCCATTATGTACCTTTCATTCACTTCTTTGCTCATAGGAGAAGGTCAGAGCCGAGATAAATAGCACAATCAAGAATGATTACATAACCGACGTTGAAACAACTAATTTGGAGTACCTTGACATGGTGATCAAAGAGTCGATCCGACTCTTCCCCGTGGGTCCTGTGCTTCCACGAAAAATCACTGAAGAAATGAAACTGTGTAAGTGTCACTTGACACACGTAATCATCGGTAATAATTACATGGAAATTGTTTATGTTTTTTAATCCTCAGCGGAGTGCACCGTTCCAAAAGGTAGTTCTATTTTTATGTTACCTTTTGCAACGCACAGAGACCCGAAGCACTGGGAGAACCCTGAGAAATTCATCCCTGAGCGGTTTACTTTCGAAAATTCGAGGGATCGTCATCCCTTCGCCTTCGTACCCTACAGTGGTGGTCCGAGAATTTGTCCAGGTCCTAAATACGGTGTCGTCTGCGTCAAGATCGTCATCGCACAGATCCTGAGGAATTTTAAAATGTCGTCGTCGATGAACCTGGAGACGATGCCCATACATACCCATATTTCCACAAGGTCTGTCAATGGGTACCACGTGAAGCTGGACAAAGTTGATTGATGAACAAGTTTTTAATTAAATATTAGCCGAATTTTCATTAGTTCATAATTATTCTCTGCCTTGAGAGATCTGGAAAATGATTGAACTGAAATCGCGAATTGAATGTGCGAGTGTGAGGAAAATTTCGATTGGATTTCCCTGTTTTTATCTGATTGATCGTGCATCAGAAGTTAATAATAAATGTGTGTAATTCTTTTGGAATGAATAAAAAAGGGATGTTTGTCTCTTAGAATTTCCCAAACAAAGTCCCGAATTTATCAGTTTGCAATAAATTAGGCAGCTGTGGGTTAAAGTTAATGTCGTGTTTCTGTCTGAATTCTGAAAATAAAAGAGTTAAACAACTTTCGGCAGTATAAAATGCTAATATATTGGGGAATGGCTGGATCGATTCAACAATCTGATGATTGTTGGATCCTGTTTAGCGACCTCGTAAAAAGATACACTCTTCTCGAAAGAGATATCAGTTCATGATCAGCAGTGCTACCGCCAGTGTAAACCCAAATTAGTGATTAGATAACTAGGTCATCAATAGAAATGGATTTCATCAACGAAACATTCGATTCTGCGACGCACATTGAATATTTGTTCGGTAAGTCATTCTTTTCAATTTTAAATTAAATGAAATTAAATGAAATTCAAATGAAATTAAATGAAATTTAAATAAAATTAAATGAAATTTAAATAAAATTAAATGAAATTTAAATAAAATTAAATGACATTTAAATAAAAAATCGTGAGTCATTCTAGGAATTCTCCTATCAATTACATTTCTTCTATCTGGTGTCAAATGGTGGAGTGATATCCGCGATTATCTCCAGCAAAGAGAAAAACTGGTGAAATTCGCAAAAACATTACCTGGCCCTCCGACAATCCCCATCCTGGGAAATGCTTTGGAATTATGGGAGAGCAATAGTAATTAGCCTATTGATCGAGCACTCCCTTGTCGAGTGACATGTAGATAATTATATTTGTTATTTCAGAGGCTTCATTGATTTTTACTAAAATCAGTCGCAATTTGAATACACCGACATTCAGATTCTGGTTGGGACCAGTTCTTAAAGTGATAGTGACGGATCCCCGGGACTTCGAGGTTCGCATTTGTATGAATTAAAAATGTTCTGTCACCTTTACCCAAAACTACCGGTTTTTACATTTTATTATCATTGGCGTGATCACATTTTACGAGTCATTAAATAATTATAAACCGCAACAACATTATATTTTTTTGCATCAATTCAGAATGATTTTTCTATTTCAGATAATACTTTCATCCGGCAAGAGTACACACAAGGATCCGGTCTACCAATTATTTAAACCGATTGTGGAATACGGTTTAATCAACACAGAAGGTAATTACTCGTAATAATGGAATTCAATTTTTCTATGAACAAGTGTTTTTACAGGAGCGGTGTACCGCGGCCACAAGAAGTTGTTACTATCGATATTAAATCACAGTTCGGTAATGGATAAGTACGTGGAGTTATTCAATAATTACGCAAATTTGTTTATTGCGAGTCTAGGAGAAAAATTGAACAATGGGGAATTTGATGTTGAGGAAGACGTCAAACGATGTATCGGGCGTCTAGCATTCGGTGAGTGATTCGTGTGGAATTGGAAAATAAAATTGAAATCTCTGAATTTTTCTAGAGACATTAATGGGAATAGTTGAGAATTCCAAATTGAAGGATAATAATCCTTTCGTGGAGAGAGCAGATCAGTGAGTAGATGATGCTGATGACAGGAGAGAGTGAGGACGAATGGTCTTTCTAATAATCGCTCGTTGGAGATCGTTATTAAATGATAATTGTTTAATCTATTGTTATAATCTAGTGTCTTGTAATTTATTGAAGATTTAGAGAGACGATTTTACCTCGTCCCTGAATTGAATGATTAATCGATTGATCAACAAGTCTTTTGCAGGGCTCTGGGCATTTTTATAAACAGAATAGCGAGGCCTTGGCTCTATCCGTCGACAATTTTCAAACTCACCCAACAAGGAAGAGATTTCTATCAAATAAGCAGCCAGACGCATGCATTTGTCAATAATGTAATTAAATCAGAGATAGTGATTTTATTTTGGATTTGATGAATTCGTTTTTCAGTTGATTGAGACGAAAAGGAGTGCATACAAAGCATCGCATGAAAAAATTATGAGTCCAGTGTTGGATTCTCTTATTGATCATGTGATTAAAACAGGTGCATGGAGTGAGCCTGAAGTGCGAGATGAGATTATTACGACATTTGTTGGGGTGATTTATGATTTATTTTTTTTTATGATAGATGTGGCGACGTAACGACAGCGGGAATAATATTTTTACTTTTCAGTTGAATGACACAATCGGAGGACTTTTGTGCTTCGTAACACTGATGCTGGCAATGCATCCTGAGGTTCAAGTAGGGAATAAATCCGATTTATTTCCTCAATGAAAATTCAGAATTGGAGGAGTGAGCGAGTGAAGTTAACGATGTTGATGATTTTTCAGGAGAAAGCGAGAGGTGAAGTTAAAGAGGTTGTAGGTGATGAGGAAGTGACCACCGAGGCTATTTGCCAGTTGGTTTACATCGACATGATTGTTCGAGAGACTATAAGATTGTTCCCCGTGGGTCCTCTACTTCCTCGGATATCGACAGAACCAATAGAGCTCAGTAATTCATACTGCCCATTCAACTCAATTATCTCACCGCAAACAAACCATTTCGATAATAATTCACGGACTTTTCCAGCGAGCTGCACTGTTCCAGAGGGTTGTTCTCTGTACATGGTGCCCTTCGCCACCCACAGGGACCCCCGCTACTGGAACAAACCCGAGGAATTCATCCCCGAACGTTTTACCCCGGAGAACTCAAAAAATCGTCACCCATTCGCCTATCTACCCTTCAGCAGCGGCTTCAGAAGCTGTCCCGGATCAAAGTACGGCACGATGTGTCTCAAAGTTTTCGTTGCACATGTTGTTCGATCATATCACCTCGAGTCAAACATGAAACTCGATCAGCTGCAGTTGCATACGCACATATCGACCAGGAGCTCCGACGGATATAAATTATCTATCAAAAAAACTAACAATTGATTCAAATATCGATCACGATGAGGTTTAATTACTAGAATTGTTCCTTTTTTTTATAAAAATTGTGTAATAAAATGTTGCAAGTGATACGTGTCCATGCTCACTACCGGCCCAAACCTGTTCACTTATCCTGAAGATCCATTTCAAAGAATATTTATGCAATCGCTGACAGTTGACGCGTGGTTTTCGTCTTTGCGAGAAATTGCGTGATGGCATCAACCCTTTCATGGTCAAAGTCAAATTATCATGTAGAAAGGAAAAGGGGCCCATTGACATTGAAGAGTGGGGAGATGTAGGTAAGGGGGTGAGATGAATGCTCTTCAACGTGGCCAAGGACGATCACCCAAAAACCTGTTTTGGGGTGGGAAACTTGGAAAATAAAAATAAATGACCATTCAGATTTTGCAGTGGGACGCTTGCTCTTAAAGAATACCTTCACTCCATTATCAACTGTCCTACGAAGTTCTTGCGAGAAAAATAAAATCCAACTCCTTGGATTTTCTCATTCGTCTTCTGCGTTCAAATTAAAATGAGTGTCTTCAATGAATCATTCGAATTTCTGTCACAACTTTTGATCTCTTTGGGTAAGTATTTTTCCGTCATAATTATTATTCCAAAATCTCAACTACCGGTTGATTCCAGAAATTTTTCTGTCGTCTCTTCTGCGAGGTGGAATGAACATTTGGAGAAATATCTCCGAATATTTACAACGGAGAGAAAAATTTCTCAAATTCGCTGAGACATTGCCAGGACCACCAGCACTGCCTATTCTCGGAAATGCTTTAGAATTATGGGAGAGCGATAGTAATTCCAAAAATATATATATTTTTTAAATATATAAATTTCCGCCAAAATTCACGATTTTTTAATTAATTCATTGACGCGAAAAGATATTATGCGATAATAGTAATAGTAATAAAAAATATTATGCGATAATAGTAATAATAGTTTCGTAATTGTTTTTAAAATTTTTGAAAAAACGCAGAGAATGCTCGCACCGTTCTGAGATTTCCTGAAAAATGAAGAAATGAGTAAACCGTGAATTTTGGGGAAAACGGTATAAAACAGACGGAATGTAAAATTTTGATGAATAATTTCAGAGGCCTCTTTAGTTTTCACGAAAATCAGTCGTGACTTGAATGCCCCATTATTCAGGTTTTGGCTGGGACCGGTTCTCAAAGTGATAGTGACGGATCCCCAGGACTTTGAGGTTTTTAATTCCCCAATAAAAAGGGACTTACTGTCTCCAGAGAGTAAAAAAAAAATTTTCTGATTCAGATAATCCTCTCATCATCGAAGAGCACTCGAAAGGACGAAGTCTACCAATTGCTGAAGCCAATCGTCGAGTACGGACTCATCAACATAGAAGGTAAATTATTCAGGTGAGGAATTAAATTACTCTCCAGTACATTTGTGATTTTCCTCAGGGGCTGTGTATCGGTACCACAAGAAGCTATTGCTATCGATATTAAATCACAGTTCGGTGATGGACAAATATGTGGAGTTGTTCAATCGGTACGCCAAGATGTATGTTGCAAGTTTAGAGGAAAGGGTGAACATCGGGGAATTCGATGTTGAAGAAGACGCTAAGCATTGTATTGGCCACCTAGCATTCGGTGAGTAATTTAAAATAATTGAATAGAGATTGATTTATTTTCTCTTGATTTCTTCTCTCTTGATTTCTTGCAGAAACCATCCTGGGTATGGCAGAAGCTGTCACGTCGGAGAATCAAAAACCATTTGTCGAAAGAGGAGATCAGTACGATATGATATAATTACTTGACAGATTCATCCTATCGACAAATTTTCAAATCGAATCATAGGACCTTTTCTTTCAGAGCTCTGAATATTTTTACTCACAGAATGGCGAGGCCTTGGCTTTATCCAGAATTCATCTTTAAATTGACGCAAAGAGGGAAAGACTTTTACTGGATAACCGACAAGACACATGAATTCATCAATAGTGTAATTGAACTTAAGAAGAACGAGTACCAGACATCACATGAGAAAGTTATGAGTCCGTTGGTGGACTCTCTTGTTGATCATGTGATGAAAAATGGCGCCTGGTCTCCACCAGAAGTTCGTGACGAGCTGACCACAACTTTCGTTGGAGTACGTTCTCTATCCGTAATTATTAGGCGATTGTTTACTGACAATAATTATAATTAAAATATGTTATTTCCAGTTGAATGACACAATAGGAGGACTTTTGTGCTTCGTAACACTGATGCTGGCAATGCATCCTGAGGTTCAAGTAGGGAATAGATCCGATTTATTTCCTCAATGAAAATTCAGAATTGGAGGAGTGAGCGGGTGAAGTTAACGATGTCGATGATTTTTCAGGAGAAAGCGAGAGGTGAAGTTAAAGAGGTTGTAGGTGATGAGGAAGTGACCACCGAGGCTATTTGCCAGTTGGTTTACATCGACATGATTGTTCGAGAGACTATAAGATTGTTCCCCGTGGGTCCTTTACTTCCTCGGATATCGACAGAACCGATAGAGCTCAGTAATTCATACTGCCCATTCAACTCAATTATCTCACCGCAAACAAACCATTTCGATAATAATTCACTGACTTTTCCAGCGAGCTGCACTGTTCCAGAGGGTTGTTCTCTGTACATGGTGCCCTTCGCCACCCACAGGGACCCCCGCTACTGGAACAAACCCGAGGAATTCATCCCCGAACGTTTTACCCCGGAGAATTCAAAAAACCGTCACCCATTCGCCTATCTACCCTTCAGCAGCGGCTTCAGAAGCTGTCCCGGATCAAAGTACGGCATGATGAGTCTCAAAGTTCTCGTTGCATACGTTGTTCGATCATATCGCCTCGAGTCAACCATGAAGCTCGACAAAATTCAGCTACACACGCACATATCCACCCGAAGCTCCGACGGATATAAACTATCCATCCAAAAACTTTAATCCTCACTCACTCTGATTGTAAAAATCATTAAGAATATTAAATATCAATAAACGCATCATGAATCTATACACTGAACGTCTCAAATTATTTCCCACTTCCCATCGCTGACACCTAGACAAACGACCATTGTAAAATAACTTTTTCATTCACATGATGATGAGCTATATCTCCAAGTACAGTGTCCAAGGCCGATTATCGCAATCGATGGCTTTCAAACGCGCGTGCCATGACTGCGTTAATCAGTCTTACATCGAATTGCAGAAGAAAAAGTAGCGATTGCATTGGCAATTTAGTATCGAATCGACTCTCAGTGGATAAACTTGAGAATTCATTCACTCATTTCTGATAATGATTTCTCTGACCCAGGTCACCGCAACTTCTGTTGCACTAGGTACGTCTCAAGTTCATTACCCTAGAGCTATTCATCAGTGAAATATCAATTAATATTAATATTGCAAATAATTCATCTGCGTCCCTGAATTAAAATCCCATTAAATCCCGAAATCCCGGGAAATCGTTAAATGATATTTGATAACGAAAAGTTTACGTTTATTGTGGATTAAAGTGGATCGGTATCTCCAGGTATTATTCTCGTGATCCTGACCGTTTTGATGGGATTCCTCCGTCATCGAGAGGAAGTTCAACAATTTTTCGAGGACAGAAAGAAGTTCATCGAGTTCGCTGGAAAGTTACCCGGTCCGCGAACTTTACCGCTCCTTGGAAATGCGTTGGCATTAATCGACGGCGACAGTAATTTCTGTTTTTTTAGAATATATTTCACTGGGAGAAATATAAATATAAATATAAATTATAGAATATATTCTCGTGGGAGAAATATTCAAGGGTTCCACGTGATTTCAGGGGCTATTTTCACGCTGTCTAAAATCAGCCGGGAAATGAATGGCATGACGTTCCGAATTTGGCTGGGACCTCTTTTGAAAGTTGTGGTCCCTGATCCCGATGACATACAGGTTTGTAACAATTCATAATTAATTGAGAAAAAATAATTATGGGGTGTTGGTGAATATATGAAAAATATTAAATTACCACAGATAAAATTACCTCATTAGATTCTCATAACATCCACGAAATCAGCGAACAAGGATGACATCTACAGGATGATGGAGCCAGGAATAATTGGAGCCCTGATAAATGCGAATGGTCTGTACTGGGGAAGGAGAGCCTTCGGGAGAAGATAAAAAATTCTGGATTGCCTTGATGCAGTATTGTCCTCAATTAATTAATCGGATGTTTTTTTTTTCAGGCTCAATCTACAAAGCTCAGAAGAAACTGATACAGCCGATGCTCAATGGCAGTCTAGTGATGGACAGGTTCACTAAATTATTCAATTTTAAATCGCAGACACTCGTTCGACAACTCGAAGAGAAAATCGGTGGAGGAGAATTCGATGTTCGTGATTATCTCGCCTTTTACCTTGGCGATATTACTTTCGGTTGGTAAATCATCAGTGACGATCAGCAATCATCAATATTCAACATTCGACATTATTCCTTCACCTCGTGTCTTCAATTATTATCATTTTTCCTTTCTTATTTAACAATATTTTATCATTATTTTGCAGAAACATTACTTGGACGATCGGCACTCCTGGAAAATGGACAAGTAACACCATTTCTTGCAGAAACGCAAATGTAAATAACAAATTAACAATTTACAAAAAATTGACAATTTTCATGAAAATCGTTAAGAATATTCAACCCTGAATATTTCTCGACAGAAAAATCATATCGAAAAAAGGAAAAAACTCATATCTGCGGATTCAAAACAGCTTTTCAAGACTCTTCACTCTGTCCCCATTTATTTATTGCCATTCAGCCACCGTCGTCGGTTTTCAACAGCAATATTTGATTTTCCTTTGTAAAAATTTTGTTGCAGAGCCTTGCATGCCACAACTTATCGAATGGCAAGGCCATGGTTCTACCCCTACTCCATTTTCCGTCTCACCAAACTGGGAAGTGAATACGAAGAAATAATAAAAAGAGCGCATGAGTTCATGGATAATGTACGTAATACGAATCTGTGATCCACAATATTTATAATTTTGAGTTTATTTCAGGAAATTTCTGCGGCGATGAGGAATCACAAGCCTGCCACCACCGAAGACATCATCAATATGCCGACATTACATTTCCTCGTTGATTACATGATAAAAACTAATGAGATCACACCGGAGAACATTCGATACCAATTGATCAATCTTTTCCTCGGTGTTCGTACTATCGATTGTCCCCGATCACTCGGAATTAATCGGTGATATTTTTTTAATAATATCGCAACTATTTATTTTTCAGATATTCGAGACAGTAGAAGGCGTGGCCTGTCTCATGGTCTTGATGATAGCGATGCATCCTGAAGTTCAGGTATTAAATTAAATTCGATAAAAAATTCAATAAAAAAAAATTCTGGAGATCTCCACAAAAATGCTGAAAGATAAATTAATTAATTATAGAGAAAAGCGAGAGAAAAAGTGCTTGCGGTGTTTAAAAACGAGACAATAAACGAACCAGAGACTAAACAATTGCATTATGTTGATATGGTGATCAGGGAGACCATCAGACTCTTCCCCGTGGGGCCGATTTTACCGCGGAAAACTACCGGCGATATTAAACTGAGTAATTAAAATATATTCAGGCGTGCAGTGAAATTTTTAACAATTCATTGTCATTTTCAGGTACATGCACTGTTCCAAAAAATTGTTGTGTAATGATGCTGCCCTTTGCAGCCCACAGAGACCCAAAACACTGGACTGAGCCGGATAAATTTATCCCTGAGCGTTTCAGTCCTGAAAATTCAAAAGATCGTCATCCTTTTGCATACGTGCCATTCAGTGGAGGCCCAAGGAGTTGTGTGGGTCCTCGATACGCGATGATTCTGTTAAAAGTCATGATCTCATCCATCCTGCGATCATATAAATTAACGACAACTATGAAACTCGAGAATTTGAAATTATTCACACACGTATCAACACGATCTGCTGATGGGCACAAGATTTTCATCGAAAGGATCAAATCGTGAATTTATTCAATCATTACATTAATTTATGAACAAATTTATGGAGCATTCCCGTTTATCTTTTGATAAATAAATTGAATGACGTAATTAATTCTCAGGGATTGAGAGGTTTAATCGATTCAAACCACTTTTTTCGTGGGATCGTTTCGTAACTGCATTAATTACAGGTGCGATTACTCCATTAATTACAGGCTTCACTAGATTTAAAAAAATCTACATCAGCAGTTGTACTCAGGAATCAATAGTTCAGCCTCTCGTCAGTTAGTTATCACATCCCGGGGAAAATAGTTGTATCATAATTACTCTGTGAAGTGTAATAATAAATAATAATCATTAGTGAAATAATTTTGATGATGAGTTGGTTGCAGTCAGTGTCTTTAATTCAAGACAATTTTTTCACTCTAGGTAATAATCTCGCCATTTATCCAATCGATCTTACACTTAATTATTTTACTTCCAGGTTTTTTCGTTGTGGTATTAATTATTTTGAGGGGATTCCTCCGGTATCGAGAGGATATTCAACAATTCCTGGAGGACAGGGGAAAGCTCGTAAAATTTGCAGCGACTCTACCGGGCCCTAAGACTCTGCCTCTGATTGGAAATGCCCTCGCTATTAGAGACACCGAGAGTAATTAGGATTCATTAATACTTGGGATAATTATCTGATTGATATTCAATGTTCTAGAGGCTATTCTCACTCTTTCGAAAATGAGTCGAGACATGAATGGAGAGACGTTTCGATTTTGGCTGGGGCCTTTCCTAAAAATTGTTGTCCCTAATCCTCGGGACATACAAGTAATTAATATTCAATTGTGAAATAATTATTTGAGTAATAATATTTAATTGGAGTAAACCAATCATTTTCTTACGATTTCTGATTGAAGAATTAATGATGTCGATTGAATAATTAATAATGGAATCGGATAGTTTATTTAATTAATGATGAAATGTCCATATTTTTTAGATTATCATTTCTTCTTCGAAAGCTGCTCACAAGGATGATGTCTACAAATTAATGGAACCTGGGGTAGTCGGCGGTCTCATAAACGCCAATGGTGATTACTCGATGACAAAATTCTTGTAATCATCTTGTTGTTACCTAATTAATTAATTATCGTTTGATCAGGTCCTTCTTACAGAGCCCACAAGAAATTGATACAGCCGATGCTCAATGGCGGTCTAGTGATGGATAGATTCGCTAAATTATTCAATTTTAAATCACGGGGACTTGTTAAACGACTCGAGGAGAAAGTTGACACAGGAGAATTCGATGTCATTGAGTTTATCACATCTTTTATTGGCGATATTACTCTCGGTTCGTACATGAACGCAATGAATAACAATTTTCCAGGGAATTCACTCGTTTTTATTTCACTTAGTACATTTTATGAATGAAAAACTTTATGTAATTATTTACATTACAGAAACGTTAGTGGGACGTCCAGCGATTCTGGAAAATGGCGAAGTCATGCCGTTCTTGACGGAGACTCAAACGTAAATAAAAACGAAAGGATGTGTTTCCGTTAAAATTTCTTAATCTTAAAACTCCCCTTTTACTCTCTGATAGCAAGAGCTATTTTATTTTTCCGTTCTTTATTGTTTTTCATATTTATTGTTGGTATTTTCTTACAGAGCATTGCATGCCACGATTTATCGAATGGCGAGACCCTGGCTGTACCCTTACTCTCTCTTCTGTATCACAAAAAAAGGGAGAGAATACTCGGAAATTATCAAGAGAGCACACGAATTCATCGATGATGTACGTAAATCGATTGAGGGCCTGTGCGCTTATGATTTTTTTTTCATCAATTGCAGAATGTCTCGCAGGCGGTGGATAATTACAAACCAGCGAAGACTGAAGACATCATTAATATGCCCCTGCTACATTTTCTCGTTGATCACATGATGAAAACCCAGGAGTTGACGCCGGTGGAGATACGATACGAATTAATTACCGTTTTTATTGCTGTTTGTACTGGCTTTGAATATTCAGTAGTATCAGTTGAAGTGCATTTTAATCACTCGGAATTTTCCGATAGCTTCAGTGAATAAAATTATGAATTTATTCAAATGTTCAATTTTACAGATTTTTGAGACATTGGAGGGCATCTCGTGTCTTCTGATACTCATGATAGCAATGCACCCCGAAGCTCAAGTATGAAAAAATAAGTACTGGCTTTTTATTGTAATTAATCGATAGACAGATCTATAGGTTTATGTGGAAAGGAGCGAAATATTAGAATTTAAAGGGATATACATGTGAAAAATGAACAAATTCATCAATTCCAGAGAAAAATAAGAAAAGAAATTCTTCAGGTGATGAGAAACGAGACAATAAACGAGCCGGAGACCAAGAGATTAAATTACCTCGATTTGGTAATTCGAGAGACGATTCGACTGTTCCCCGTGGGACCGGTACTTCCTAGAAAAACAACTGATGAGATTAAACTGAGTAATTTATACTTTTCGTAGTGGTATGGTCGTGATTGAAAGGAAATCTCACGCTATTTGGAATAATTGGAATGAATTTTTAGGCACTTGCACTCTACCTAAGAATTGTTCGGTGATGATGCTACCCTTCGCAGTCCACAGAGATCCGAAGTACTGGAGTGAACCGGATAAATTTATTCCTGAACGGTTCACCCCGGAGAACTCTAAGGATCGTCATCCGTACGCTTATATTCCTTTCAGCGGTGGTCCCAGGAGCTGCCTAGGGCCCCGATATGCCTTGATGGTCCTGAGGATCATGGTTGCACACCTTCTTCGATCGTATGAATTAACAACCAGTATGAAAATCGATAATTTGCAGTTAATCACTCACATATCCACCCGCTCCCTTAACGGACATAAGATTTCCGTTAAAAAAATTGAATTATCTAATTAATTTGAGCTCCGGGCATAAACAAAATGATTTGTTGATGATTAAGAAATAATGTGAAATACATGTTTTATAAATTAATAAAATTTGTGGAATATATAAAAAATTTGAAAAGCTCCCGCCGAAGAATCCTCATCGATTCTTCCCCCAGAGTGAAGCGAAGGGCGTTTGAAAATACGATCCCGCCGTCATTCATTTTTTTTTTCCAAATAATTCCAATTTTTTGTTTTTATACATGGCTAATCAATGGAAATATTGTTTAAAAACTGAATTTTTGAAAATCGAGAAGATATTCAGTAAAATTAACAAATTTGAAATTTTTTGAAAAATTACCTTTTCAAAATATATACCCCTAATGAAATTATGGTTTTAAAATAAGCGCGTTATCCTAGTGGTAACGTGCTTGCCTACCACGCCGACGGCTCGGGTTCGATCCCGCCGTCATTCATTTTTTTTTTTTAAATAATTTCAATTTTTTGTTTTGTAACTGACTAATAAATCGAAATATTGGTTACAAACTGAATAGCTCCTCGATTGTCATGTTCCCCTGATACTTTTACAAAAATTTCGAATTTTTCACTTGCAGTGAAAATTTCAGTGAATAGCTCCTTGATTGTCATGTTCCCCTGATACTTTTACAAAAATTCCGAATTTTTCACCTTCAGTGAAAAT